TCGTTTATAAATTCCATAACTCTTTAAATGTCCCATTAAAGGTGTATCTAGAAGCCGTAATTTAATATTCCTAAAGAACTATATCACTTCCAAACACTCCTGCCTCAGAGAGAGATACTGATTAAAATCAGAATGTACGAAGGTGTTAAGATATTAACTTGCGGTCTTGGAAGTATCTTAATGATTTATTTGTGCCATACTTCCATTTTAACTGACTTATCTAACTGGCATTAATTCTGGACACTATATAGGCTGCCTATGAGATTGTTTAGATTATTTTAAATATCTCATAAACTGTGTGAGAATACAACTGATTAGATTTAATGAACATCTGCTGTGCTTCATGCATTTTATTGTAAGTTTTGAACAGCAGTATTTAAAGTTATTCAGCTGGAAAATCTACTTCATTTATAGAGTTTATATACTTATAGCAAGAATTAAGATTCTTTTAACTCTTAAAAGGTAAAATTAAATCTGAAACTTATTGCTATCAAAGTGTAAGAATGAATCAATAGATTCTAGCTTCTAAAACATTCATCTTAGCGGAGAAATTTATAGCAAAATTTGGTAAAATGTAGTTATGGTCTTTTGAGAGCTTCTTTGGAAGAACTGCATTTCTCAAAATAACAATAAGTAGTCTGAAATTATTTGTATCAGGAAATAAGGAAGTATATATGCCGATTTCATAAATTATAATTGTCATGCAGGACTGAATCCTAATTAAATTCATAATGTGAAGAAACTGTTTGCATTTTAGGTCATTTTTTTTCCTCTCCTTCCCTCACCCCATGTAGGAATTCTGGAAAGCAACAGACTGAAAATTGTAAAGGTTAAAACTATTAATCAGACAATTGGAAATGTTACATACCATGCTGCAGATTTGCCAATATGGTGGCAGATACCTCAATATGTGTTGATTGGATTCAGTGAAATATTTGCAAGTATAGCAGGTAAGTCTTTGGTGCATGCTTTAAAATGGCTTCTACATACCATCTATCATGAATGATGGCTTCTTAAAAATTAAATATTTGCTTTTCAAATCACTGTAAATAGGCCGCAATATTCTCAAGTACAATATTATACAATACACTCAAATATGCTATGGCAAAACACTCGTCATCTTTTTCACATTTCAGAACTGGCTATGTGAAAAGTTATTTTCATGACTGAGTTTCAAGAAAAATAACATCTAGATTCTTTGCATGTCATCCAGTCAGCAACAGATATTTACCAGCTTTTGTAGAAAACAAGATACTTGTTCAGTGCTGTACTTGGAAGAATAGTTTTGATGTTGTGTTGTTTCCTCTGAATTCTTCGCCACATGTTGCAAATAAAGTTTGTGGTTCATCATTTTCTGGTTTAAAAGCTGAGCCCACAGTTTGGAAAATCGGCTACTATGTGGAAACACCTATTTGAGATAAAGGAAAAGAAGAAACCATCTTAGCAAGATTTGTCACCAGTTCAAATTCGTACAAGTTGAATTCTTACAATTCTGAAATAAGAAAAATCCTGTGTAATTAAAACGTTAAATTTGGGGGAATACTAATAGCAGAGTAAGTTGTGCACAGTTTTGTCGACTATATTTATAACACAGCTTTTCTGAAGTTATTTAATACTCCATGATACTAGAACAAGTGATCTTAAATTTCTTAATACTGTTCTATATGACGTGTGGACTGTTGTTTGATTATAGGGATTTTAAGCTGAAAGTAGAGTGAGTGGAGAGGGTGAATAGGACTATAAAATCTTATTTTCTGGTCTGTTTCATATTCATGCAGGGCTCATTAGCACAAAAAAACCCACAGGCAATTTATCTGCTGTCACTGTGGTGTGGCTAGCACAGGTTTATTATGATTAAGCAAGTGAAATGCCACTGTGAATCTTTCTAGCACCGTATTTACACATTTAGTGCTTGGGAGCAATGCCTAGGTACCAGTAATAGAAACTTTTTGTAATCTTAGATTTGTTAAATTACTTTCTGATACTGCTTATCTAGAATTGTACAGCTAGCTGCTCTGATCTATCAGAGCTCTTCCAGTGACTCCAATATTTCCTTGATGATAGTTACTTTCTAATGCATTTTTAATACTGGTTTAGAATGTTGAACTTTGAAGACCATCCATTTATATCAGCATTGCATTTTTTTTTTGCATGAGAACAACAATAATCTGCAATTTATGAAAAGCTCAAGGGCAAAAGGCTCTGTTTGTTGAGCTCCAAGTTGAGGATTGTTTATATGTTTTTAGGGGGCTTCATGGGAAGTAAAATCTTGAAAGCTTTCACTATTCTTAGGTGAATACCCTGCTGTTCTTTTGCACTTGCTGCATCTGTAATAACAGCTTTGTAACTTCAAAACCTGTTAGTTGGCCAAAGTTGGAAAAAAAGGCAATCGCTTCTGTTTGAACCAGAGATTCCATGCAGATCTTAATTGCTTTGTGTATTACACTTTCATACAATTTGTGTTACAAAGGTTTTTCTTTCTTTTTTTTTTCTTGGACTTCTGATCACTATTTAAAGTGAATTTTTAGTAGCTTTAAGAAGGTCCCTCAAGGCTTAATAGAGGATACTTTACTACTTTAACAGTGAATGTTGATAGAAACATCTATTGTGCTGTGAACTTCAGCTTTAGAAAAAGCCAAGTGTTAATGGTTAAAGCTATAGTGATTTTGAAGCATTTATTGTGAACAAAAAAGACTAAATATCGTAAGAGCAGAAACATAGGTTTGATTTGTTTACTGTAAAACTAAGCGTATTCTTATTACAACACATTAGTTACACTTGAGGTACCTTTTAAAAGATGACACACATTCCATTAATCTTTTGTATTATTCCTTCAGTCCTCTTAAACCAGCCGTATTTAGCTTGGAATCATAATCTCACATGACAACACCAACTAGAAGGTTTAATCTCAAAACTGCTTGTTTGAGGTAGCATGAAATCATTATCCATGGCTGCCAGCAGGCAGGAATAGCTCTGAAGACAAAGAAAAGATTTTGTGTTCTTTATGCCAGATGAAATATTAGGGTCACTGAAAACACTATTCAAGTTCAGAAACGTGACTTATTTTGTTGCAAGAAGTGTATGGTGTTTATATCTATTTTGGCTTTAGTTTTTAGATTTTTTTTTTTTTTGCAATAACACTCAAATCCGGTGCATCCAACTAATGGACATTGACATCCTCTTTCACGTCATGTGTGTGACTTGAGCTTTAATTGTTCAGTGTCAAATCCAGTGCATCCATCTAATGGACAATGACATCCTCTTTCACGTCATGGGTGTGACTTGAGCTTTAATTGTTCAGTGTACAAATCCTGGTAACCAAACCATGACTGATGCTTTGGAGATTTGTGATTAACTGTGGTAGCTTCACAAGAGAATAAGAACAAACTACCTTATCATGAAAGTAGTGGGGGGGGTTTGTAGTATTTTTAGGTGAGATTGTCCAGATAAATACTCTGAAAAATCTGAACTGTTATTTTAGTGATAAAACATTGAAAACAATTTTTGTCTCTAATTCTCAAACTAAATGTAACTTATTTTCCCCCTGTTTACCACCTGACTGCCTATTCCATCTCTATAGACCTTGTCTCGTTGTGGTTTGAATTCAGAGCTGTACAGAGCTGAGCTGCACCAAGAATGTTTCAGTTCCATTCTAGGCTGACACCTTGAAGAGGAAAAGAGAAACCTCATGGTGGTTATCTGAGATTTCTCATGAGGCAGTGCAAAATGCTCTCAGATCAATAAGTAAAAAACATTCAGTTCTGATTCTTTTACAAGAACAGAGTTGCTCCCTCACAACGGGCAAATTGACCTGACTTGACTGAGGTGTTATGCCTTTTCTTCAAAGGAGATGTGACTGCATTTGCTATTTGAAACTCTGTCTCAAATAGCAGAAGTCAACACTGGTGGTGAAACTAAAGTGTGCCTTTATTATGCAGACATATGACTTGGCAAAAATAGCATAATAGACCTAAAGGCCAAGAAAAACAATAGGTGAGGTAGCGGATTGATGCTCTCATTAATTTCAGTATGAGGCAGCCTATTTTGAAACAGGCATTTCATCCTTCAGAGAAAAAGCGCTGCAGAGACTGTATTTAACTGTCTCTTGTGAATAACCCCATTTAATTTTTGGCAGGAACACTGTTCTAGAAAGTGTTAATCAGGAGCATTAGTCTTTGCGAGGCTGCACCTAACCCAGCGTGTCCTGTTGGTGCTCAAATTCAGTAGTACAAATTGTTTTTAAATTGATACCACTGGCTTTTCTTTTTCCTGCTTTTATTTGTTGAAACTTAAATAAGGGGAACTTGAAGTTCAAGTTCCATTTCTACAATGCTTAAAAGAACAGACAGACAATTGGTGGACTCAGAGTATTCTAGATCAAAATTAAATTAAAACTAATTACTTTCCAGCTACAATTAATTTATCTGCAGTGTCTCAGTGTCTGCCTGGATCTCTGAGGGAAATAAATGCTCATGGTCAATGCAAGTTGGTCAGTTCTGAGTGCTATTTTTCTGAGCAAGGAAGTCCATGTGCTTTATAAATGTTACAGAACAGAACCAAATGAAATGGAGGACATGGAAATGGAGTTGCCAGGTTCTTGCCAGGCAATTACTTGAATCTTGAAGTTTTAAGCTAGTCTCTCAAAGTGATTCAATGGTAGTACCAGGTTTATCTAAACCATAATTACAACGTACTTAGATTTTAATAAATTTCTGTTAAGACTGAAACACAAGTGAATGAGAAGGTAAATCATTTCTAGGTTGGACTTCCATAATACACCCTCTCTGTTGTTCAAATCAATCGGTGTGGATCAAATGAATGAATGCCAGAAATGTGAGCTCTTTCTAAAGATAATTTTATACAGAGAAATATGCTGCATCAGAAGATTTTTGTTGCACATGTAATACTAGCAAGATCCAAGTCTCAGGTGTTGAAATTGATGGTGATTGAATAGCTCGATTCCCTGTCTCCTGAAACATGCCAGTTTTAGATTTGTAACGTGTTAGAAGGGGCACCTATCTTCAGTTTCTATTACACTGACCTAGAACAAGCAATTGTTATGCCTTATTTCTTACAACTGCAATATTTTTCTTTTAATATAGGTTTAGAATTTGCCTATTCAGCTGCTCCCAAATCCATGCAGAGTGCTATTATGGGGCTGTTCTTTTTCTTTTCGGGGATTGGATCATTTGTTGGCTCTGGACTGTTGGCACTGGTGTCTATTAAAGAAATTGGCTGGATGAGTAATCACACAGATTTTGGTAAGTTATTTTCAATGCATTCCAATTCTATAAAGTAAAAGGCTTCCTTCAGAAATAAGTAAGCTTCGAGCATTTGGAACTGTCATAGCTTAATGTGGTATTATTTTGATAGTAAAGATTTATTTACCATTATATTAAAGACAAAATTTAGTCTTTATCAGCTACTGTTCGACAATTGCTTTATTGCATTTTATCACTAGAAATTACTTAGAAAACTTTGTATGTTAGTTTAAAAAAAAAAGTATTTAAATGAGTTATGTAACTTTAGGAAGAAGATAATATTTGCTTTAAAGTACTAGAATCGCCTTCTGGGGGCATGGGGGTAGAATGTATGCAGCTTGCTGTTAGTGATGATTCTGCTTCCTCGTTTCAGGAGACTTCCTGGCAATAACCATGAGTTAATTTTGTATTTCTGTCTGCTAGGTTTTTCTAATGTTTTTAAAGTCCAGTGGAACTTTAGCTTTGTATTGGCGGCTAAGATTAAAAATAATTATTGGCACCAGTAGGTGGCAGCTTGGGAATTCCAGAAAAATCATCCCATCCTCGCTGGTTTAATTAGTTCCAACAGGAGGAGTGTGTAAACAGTTCTTAAAACGAATGCTAGCCCTGCTGTGCATGCACAGCTTAAAAGTGCTGCATAAACTTAGACCAGATTTAAAGTATTTGCCATGTAAACTAAATTTGGATGTTACCAAAGAGTAACAATGTCTGAAACAATCAATACATTTGCAAAAAATACATTACCTTGTGATATCAGCTGTGGTAACTGAGTGCCTCCAAAACCTAGCAGGGATGTTGGCTCTGCTGGCAGCTCAGTGTTGATTGCTGTCACTGAAATGACTGTTATTTCTATTTGAAAAACTGAGACTTTGTGGAGTTAATTCCCATCTCGTAAAGGATAATTACTACTTTCTAAACACGTCTGCTCTTGAAATGGAGTTTCACATGTATATTGTATTTTAAATGTCAAGGAAAGACTCAATTTTATTGCATTTTATTATATATTCATTTAATTGAATCTTAAGTTTCAGTAATTAATTTAATCTGCACATTTATATGCATGCCTGCATGAACAGCTTGTCAGGATGGATGTACAATTTGCTATTTTTACTCTCTCTACCCCTTTTTGATGATTATAATGGTCCAGTTGGCTGTGGCTCATGTGGCATGTTGGAAGTGAGCCACAATATATTGTTCTTGGAATTGCAGCAGTAGTTAGTGTACATTTCTTAATAGAGGAATAATGTTTTAGCAATGAGCTTCCTTAATTTAACATTATTTAATGTGCTACAAATCACTAATTAGCAACAATTTTGAGGGAGTGTCAAAGGTGAATTGCAGCAAAACAAACTGCACATGGTTCCGCAAGCTCTTCACTTTTTTTCTAAGAGAAGGCTGAGAAAAAAAATGCCCTAATTGCTTTCTTTATACCTACAAAGTTGCCAAAGCTTTGCCCTAAAAGCATACATTTTTGTGATTCTCCATTTTCTTTCTTTGGCCTAGCAAAGAAGGCAGGTACTGGCCTTCCCATGCACGAACACCATGAAATGCTGAGCAGGGCTGAGCAGACTGATGGAGAGGGCTTCTTGTATAGAAGCACAGTACAAATATTCCTACTTTTACCTATTTCAGTTAGGCTGTAAAACAAAAGAGCTTTTTTTAAAACAAACCAAAAATGAATGTCTCATCATTTCAGTGTGTTCTCTGAGCTCGTTAAAAGCCTATGCAACAAAGATGGCCAAGGATCGTTAGTTACTAATCTGCATGAGAGTTACTTGGTAGAACTGGCAAAGTGGGTTCATACCTTCTCTTTTAGGAGGCTGGAAGGATGTTTTGATGCTAGATGCTCCCAACAAAGCAGTGCCAGGACTCACATGTGTGAAGTGAGCCTTGCCTGGTGCAGAATTCGGGGTGCATTTCCACAGATGCTTTACACAAATGCTCGTGTTGTGCTTCACACAAATGCTGCCTCCTTGTTAACTTTCTGAGCAATTTAACCAAGGCTCTTCATAAAATAGATTTTTAAATAAATTAACAAATAGCCACAGAAAGCAGAATTAACAAGCTTCTACATGCAATACCTTTTGGAGAGCTGACTTTTGTCTCCAAAATTATTTGTCCGGGTTAAAGGAAGCCTGCTGGGTAGCCGACATCTGGCACTGCTTCTGTCTTGAATGTTGCATTACATTTTGAGTGGTTTCTGAGCAGTTTACAGTCTAAGCTATTTGCAGAAATTTCTCTGGAAAAAAATCCATTTAATGGCTGCAACATAAGGGTGTTTTCTGTTGTTGCTTTTAAAATGAATTGTCTGTACAAAAATTGATAATGATCGCTTACCCTGAGAAAGAAAGCAAATCATAAGATAAAACAGATGAAAATGTTTATATTCCTAAGTCAGGAAAATATTACAGACTTGTAGCAAAAGATACCATACCTTATATATATACATATATATATATATAAGCCTCTTAAAACTGCTGCGACTTTCCCAAGGCATGTCCTTGGGTGTATGTGCATAGCCTTTGTGTGCAGAAAGTTCATACAGGAGCTTTCTGTATTTTTTTTTAAGGGAAGTCATGCTGTAAGAGCTTTTCTAGATCCACAGGGAAATTACTTGGCTTAAGGAATGGGAGCACAAAAGAAAGTAATCTTCAGACTTTGCATCTTCCTCAAATGTTCAATCTTTTGTTCTGGATAATTGGAAAAAAGTATGTTCAGTCTTATGGAAATACCATGTGGTTTGTGTTTATCCATAGTCTTGCAAGAAAATCTTCATTACTTAAGACCGAAGGGGCTGATATTTTTAGCTGTATATTCTTTATTTATGCTTTCTTTTTTCCCTCCCCCGTTCTTTCTAGGTAACATTAACGGCTGCCAATTAAACTATTACTTCTTTTTGTTGGCTGCCATCCAAGGAGCCACTCTCTTGCTTTTCCTTATTGTTTCTGTGAAATATGATCATCAAAAATCGAAGATTAACGAGCTGGCTGCCAACGGGAGGATGTGATGACTGTTAGGAAGCAAACTCCATCGCAGCGGGGCCCGCGCGATCTCCCGTTTGCTCCACTGAGACCCTCTCGTTGGACCTGCACGTTGCAGGAGTCTTCACCCCTGCCCTCTCACATAACATAGGTAAGTGCCTTATGTTGGCAGGGCTCATTTCTTGCACTACGTCCTGGCAGGACAACACCAATCTTGGAAGTGTGTTAACTATAGACATTCAAGTTGCTCTTTGTTAATCCCAAGATGTTTACTTAACTCTTAAAAATTGGGACGTTTACACTTGGAGTGTAACAAGTCACTGCTAATCATGGAAAACTTATGTAATGTGGATTGCCCCAGCTGAAAATATCTCCCAAGTGAAGAGCTGTGGATCTAGAGAAACACCCCGACAGTTTCAAGCTTACATTGAAGACTCATAGGAAAGAAAAGATTTTGCAAGAAGTTCAAACAGTGGTTAAAAAAAATAAATCATATATCTTGAAAATCATCTTTGGGGGAGAAACAGGGTCAAATTGAATTTTAGATTAGCTCCAATTTAAAAAGGAATGTAGTTTATAATTGACATTCCCTTTGGAAGCATCTCAAGGATTGAAGTCCAAAGTTGCAGTCAAGAATATCCAGCGCTGAAGACTGAACTACAGGTTACAGTAGTTGACACAGAGCAGCTTTTAGTGCACAATAAACAGTTGTTGGGACTGAAAAAGTTTTGCTTCAGAAATGTTTTTAATTTAGCATCGGCATTAGATGCATCAGGGTAATATGGAAACATACATTTAGTAACTAAGTGTATGTCCAGTCTAATGCTGTTGCCTCCATGAAGAATATTTTAACTGTTTGCAGAACTGAGGTGGGTTTCTCGGAAGATGAACGCAGCTTCAGTTCAGAAGCTTTTTAGCCAGTTCCTTCAGTCCTCTGTCTCGGTTCTAGCTAACGTGCTACAGGGCTTGTGCCTTTCAGCAACACATTCCTATAGCAACTGGCTTTACATTCAGCCTCTTTAATGATTCTAACGGTTGTACTTCAGAGTGTGTGCAGAGCAGTATGGAAAGCAATATTTGCGAGGAATTACACGGAAAGAAAATGAAATCTCAACTTTTTATTAATGTACTGAATTTTTATAGTTTCTTTTGTCTGTGTTTAAGTTGTTAAAAGGCCCTTGTTTGTATGTGGACATCTTTTTAATGCGTTTACAAAATAAAATGAACTTCCATGCTGTGACTTTTGACCCTTTGTTTCTAGGTGAATAAAATTATACTCCAAGTGTTGTGTTCTTTAGCTTTTATTTGCCTAAACCTTCCCTGTTTTCTACTCTGTCGTGAGCATACAGTAAATGTCTGCTTGTTTCTTTAGGGCTAGGGCTGCTCTAACACTCTGGGGAAGAGACTGACCATGCAATCAGTTGTATAATTTAATTTTTATTTGGAATGACTTGGCTGAGCTCCAGGCACAAGTAATTATGACCATTTATGAAGATTAATCTGGCACTTCTCATCAAAAGGATGAGGCCTTTTGTGTCTCCGAGGCTTAGCTCATTCTTCCTTCCAGTCTTTTCTTTTAGAGCTTCCACTCCAGTCACAGAAATAACATTAATCAATTAGCTTTGTGACTGTGCACTGCACCTCATTAAAGAAATACCTTGAAATGTGCAGTTTGAATTTAGTTATGTTCACTTCACAGATTGTTCCAGGGCAGTAGAGAGATCTGACAGGAATCACCCTAAATGGATTTTTCGAATTCCGACAGGAATCACCCTAAATGGATTTTTCTAAGGCTCTGACATTGCCAGGTATCTTAAATTCACCACACAACCCTGAAGCATCAGCATTTGCTAAACAGGGCAGTGCCCAGCGTCTTAAAATTTGTTACTGTTGTTCACAATAAATTGTGGAAAAAAAAAAATAAGCAGGTACTTTATAATGCCCATAACCGGCTATAATGTAATCATGTATGCAGAACATCAGCACTGTACCCTGTGTCTCATTTGAGATCATGAGGTGGGTGTATAGGATATAAGTTCATATAACTTGCAGATCTTCTAGCAAAACTGGTTTTACTGGTCCTTTTGTGGCTAAAGTCTATATTGAATATTCCTCTTTAGAAAAAGGGAGACCTTTAACTTTTTTTCTTTGCTTCTCTACAGTAGCCTCAGCCTAGAGTTTGTGTTGTCTACATCAGCAGAAAGAGTAGTTGTCAAAGCCTGGCTGGGTAGAACTTGGATGAACTTACTTACACGTGTGTTCAAATGTGCTTCTCTATATGTCTAGGTCTATTAACCTGCAGTCTGTTAAGAGCAAGAAGATCATAACGAAGGATGGAAAACCATTCTGTTTCCACAGTCAGGAATTAATTACAAGCTGTCCCTAGTACTGAATATTAATGCTTAAAAAGGAGGGAAAATAACTTAGTGTATTGGGGAATTACCAGCGCATTAGGAATCAGGAAGTTTCCTAAAGGGCTGGTTTATAGCCTGAAGAATGAGGACTTACTTTTCTTTCCACGCCTTGATTAATTCCGGACTCCATCAGACGAGTTTTTGATTATCCTTCTTGAACATGCTTCCTTTATCAGGATGTTCTCCTACAGGGAATAAATTCAAAATAAGAACATAGCATTAACAGGCGTCTCCTGCTCCAGGTACGTGTCACCAACACCCGACCAGGCTCGGGTCTGCTCTACCCCATTTGCAGTACATCGAGACCGTGGTGCAGGGATGCTCCAGGCCTGTATTTCCTTCGTTGCCGCATACCCACTGTATTTTACCGTACAGGATTTTACATCTCCTTTGCTTGGAAGTGTTACATCAGTAATGAGATTTAGCGATATAACACAGCCCATAAATCACTTCTGACAGGGAAAAGAACACTTTAACAGGGCAAAAGAAAACAAGGTAAATATTTCATAGGCCTTTTAAAATGGGACTTCAAATGGATCAAATGCTTTTTGAAAGCTGTAAAGCGTTCCTGACTGTCTCTGTGCATGTAATGCTGTACATCACAATCACTTTCTCCGTCCGATCACTTTTCCAAGGGTAGTTTTGTTTTTATGCTGAGCTCTGAGGAGACCCTAAGGTCCTGAATGGCTCTGCCTGCTGTAGCTATGGAAACTGCTCGATACCCTGCACTCACATACAATGACTGGAGCATATTTAAACAGCAGGAGTTGCTAAAAACTTCATCTCGGTGACAAATGGCTCCACTGCCAGGTAGTCGCTGTAAACGACCGCTCTGGAGACGGAGCATCTGTGAGGAGCAGAATTCTGCTCCAGGGTGGGACGCAGGGGCTCTGGAGAGGCATTTGCAGGCAGATTGCTGTGCAGACACTGTTATAATTAAAACAACGCAGGGCTCCCCTTGATTTCATATTTTAAAACTTTGAGCAGTCCAGAGGCACAACCTCCTAAGTCGACAAATGAACATACTGTGTAAAAAGTTCCAGATCGAGTTTTCAAAGTAGTTCATGAAATAATTAAGGCAACGTATTGGCAGATTGTGACGTGAGTTTTCATCCTGCTCTTGGCTAGGAGGGACCAGCAGAGCAAGATCCTGGCGAGCCTTGTCAAGTGCAGCGCTGCATTTGGATCCTTTCCTTTGAAAAACGCCCAAAGACGATGCAGGGTTTTGATGCAGAACTGAATATTGCATCAAATGTCACTGATGGGGGATTCACGATTGCTTTCAAAGCAGCAGGGCTGGTGGCCACCTCTTGTGGTTTCTACATCATCCCCTGCAGCTGCTTCTCAAGACGTCCATTGCCTGGAGGCATAAAGGCCTTAGGACATTTTGAGAACAACAGTTGAGTCGAATGTTGCAAACTAACCTGAACTAAATAAACTGGCAGCACATTTCACCCATTTAAGCATTAAATAGAACCTTCTCGCTGCGACAAGTCTGTAATTTAAGAGTTGATAAATTTTATCTTGACTTTTCTAGAAGTGAATTCAAAACAACCCAAACGTTTCTTCTGCAAGGCCTGAGGGACTAAAGTGAGGCAGATGATTGCTCTCAAATAGCAGGCATTTTACCTCAAAGGCGTGCTAGAAACACAGAACAGGTGTTCCTGTGCCAGGAAATACAGCACGAGCGCTGTCAGAGACAGATTACGCAAAATGGCAGGAGAAAATTGAATAAAACAAGCAGCAGTGATGTTAAATTCTTCCACTTGCTGCATATATCTCTTCTGCTGTAATCCGAGCATTTATGGTATCATATATTTTTACATGGTGAAAAGCCTTAAAATTAATGATTTGTTTCTGCGTATTCTCATTTCCTCACTGTTTGTTGTTACACGAAAAGTCGACAGAGAGATTTCAAGGAGTTTCAGTGTTTTAGTAGTTTATTCGAGCACTGTGCTAAAGGCTTCAAATCATTGCTTGAAGAGTCACCCTAAATCAGACTGGAAAAAAAAGTACAATCCAGACGAATAAAGGACTAAGCAGTTACCTGCAATTGCAAATATCTAGAAATGCATCAGTCTGTCAATAACTATGCTACGTTAGCTCCTCATATTCATGTTTATTCTGCTGGACTCCCAGTTTTAGCTGTTCTGAAGTGGGTTCATTTAAAGTGGTGAGAGGTTTTCATGGCAGGTCAAAGGCACGGAGGGCTTGGGGAGGTGTGAGTTACCTCTGACAAGGTCACAGCCACAAATTGCACATATTTTTAGTGTCCCCATTATGGAGCAATGTAACTAAACATGACTTTTCCACCCGTACTGCAAGTTTGGTTTTCAGATTTGTATCGAAAGAAAAGAATCACAGACAGAGCAGGCTAAGAGCCCCCCTGCAACTCCTGGCAAGCGCAATTCAACTTTGCATCTGAACCTAAAGGGTCCACGCAGCAAATCAGCATAGGGGAGTAATTACACCATGGCACATGCAAAGATGTGAATTTTAAAGTCCCTTTACAGCACAGAGAAGCCTAACATCTATCTAGAGTGTAAAGAAGTGCTTAAGCACTACCTGCCTATTGCTAATTTAACCTTAGCAGTGTCCTATGGCAGCCTGCACTTCAGCTCCGTAGCAGCCCAGCATCATTTAAGCTCCTTGCTTAGCTGAGCAGCGGGTAAATCCTATTGCTGATGCTGTTATAGGTTTTCAAAAGTGTAATAATTTCCAAAATTATGTTGTGCTTGCCCATAACCCTCATCACTGCTGAATTCCAACTCATCAAAATTGATCTCTAATATCATGAAATTGTTCTACATGATACAAGCCAGTGCAACCTCAAGTACTTATAAAACCATGAAGTGCTACAATAATTTCAAATAGCTGTGTGCTCTGC